GAGAATCATAGATCTTTTATGTTGGATTTTGTGGTGAGAACGGTCCACAAAACTCATTCTGCACGTCCTCATAAGATCCTTTTTTATAGCAGGTTATGAATCATCACATGATATCTTTAAATGGATGATCAATACTATATTTTCCCATAAAACGTTTGGTTTGAAATCCGATTTTAAGTGCATTAGAGTTTTTGTGCACTGAATTAGTAAGTGTCATAATAAATTGTCATCAAATATGAAAGAAATATAGCTTAGATTAATTGCCATATTTATTTATGAGTCTGTAAAATACATTGTGAAAGTCCTGGCACATTTTTGGGATACCAGCTTGAACTTTCAAGCAAGTTAAAAGCATTAAACGAGACTGGAAGTAGATTTATTATTGGAATGTTTTTAATTGCAGTTTCAACCAGACACAAGTATTAGAATGGCTGTGCCCTTAATGGCCATCTCATGTGTTTTTTCTTTAAAAATGATATACTTTCCATATTTTTATTGATTTCATAAGATTTATTGTAGATTAGTGCTGCTTGTGTGTGAAATTGCAAGTGGTCCCAGCTTCCCCAGAGTAGAAAGCTGCAGCTGGCCCATTGCTGGAGCCACTCCTCCCCAAAGCCCACAGCCCCCAGCACAGCCTGAAATACTGCTGAAGGACCAGAGAAAAACCTGCATTACCTGAAACAGACTGGCAGAAGAGTCCTAGTGAACTACCCAGAGGGTCCTGTTCTGTACTCATTTCTACAAATGCAAAATGGACTTAATTCAGACAGGATTTGGAGGGGAAATCCAGCTGAGCCCTTTCTTTACTCAAGTGTTAACTAATGAAGAGGCTCAACAGATTTGATGAGGTGGGACTGTCTTGGGTTAAGTATCTTCTGGGTTTGGAAGTTATATAAGCTCTTATGTTTCTAACATAGTGTTTGTACAACAAACACAACTGGGGTTTTGTGAATTACAGATGAAAGTAAACAAGGAAGCAGTTCTGATATTCACATTTAACGGTGCACAGAAGTTGGTGAAGAATACCAACTTCTTGGAAGAGAAGGCACAGTTGCACATAGCCAGCATACCAATTTTAAAATAAACCCTGGAGCAAGGGAGAGTAGGTAATGGAATAAAACTGCCTTTCACTGCCACAGGACAAAACTGATAAACTATACCTAAGGTGATATTAAATTAAAACCTACAGTTTAGCAGACACATCACTCCTTCACATCAACTACACGTGAGCTAATGCAAAGGCCATGAGAGCACAGACACAGCTGGGTGGTTAATGCTGAACCCTGCTCATGATCTGTCAGACCTGCAATCTCTTCATCACAAAAATTTTTTTAAAAAATTAATTGATTTTATTGGAAACTGAATCAACAGAGGGGTCAGACTGAATGAGAGCTGCCCTAAATCTCCTGGTATAAATTAACTCACACCTCAGCAAAGCATAAACAAGTTCTCAGAGGTGACGTTCTCACAGATTTTGTGTAGATGTATCTTTACCAGATGAATCCATACTTTACAGAATAATCTACAGATAACCTGAAGAAAGCCAGTACAGAAGTGCTCGACTACCCAGATGTAGAGCACTCTTTACAAAAGAAGTGTTTTCTCATCAGCAAAGTATGTTTTCACAAGTTGGGATGATCACAAGTCAGTGATGACCCCAGATCCAAGGAAAATACCACCCCAAAGCCTGGGAAATATTCATGTCCAGCTTCCACTTGGCTGCCACTGGGCACAGAATGGTTCAGAATAAAGCCCTGGGTCCTACCATCCTCCAACTCCAGTGACACTCAAACCCGACTGTCAATTTTACAGCCATTTCCCAAAACTTAATCACAGCAAACACGGTGATAATCTGAGATTCAGCAAACCCACTGATCATTATGGAAGTTCTGCTGGGAGCCAAGTTGAGCTGCCAGTCCTTGGAGAAGAGGCAGAAGGGCGAGGTGGCAGGGGGAGGTCACTGCAGAGGACTGTAAGGAAGAAGCAGCTCACTGTCACACAAAGGAGCCCATGCAGAAGTGGTGCTTAGTGATCCCTGTGAATAATATTACCTTTGTCTGTGTCTTTGTTTCCAAATGATATCTTAAATTGCTCTCATTTAGCCATCCATCTCAATGAGAGGGTTTGGAGAAGAAAAGCAAAGCCCCAGTCTTGTATTTTTCTCATTCTGCACGTATCAAAAGTGTGTAGCTTCTTAGATTAACGAGCCTACATACATACCTGCCCGGAAATTCACTGACAACTTTTTGGATGTCCCCTTTCAGAAGACAAGTATCCAAAGGCAAATTTATTCCCGATGTATTTCAAATGTGGCAAAAACAAAATACCACTTTCAGATTTAGCCTTCAGCCAACAGGGTACCAGCCTGGGCAATACCTCACCCCCTAAATCAGCTCTTGTCCCACACCTCATTGTGCCAGTTCTCCCCTCTCTGCTGAAGACAGTTCTACTTTCTGCTTGTATGTTAAGCAGCTAAATTTTTTATCTTCCATAAGATATTAATCTTTATATTGTCCCGATATATTTCTACCTTTCATGCAGAAATCAATCTTGAGAATAGCCACTGAGATAAGGATAGTACCAGCAAGCTTCACAATAAGCCATCATATACACTATTTTAGTTTGTCAAAACAATTAGTGTTCATTTTGGCTTTATTCAGTTAAATCTGCAGTGACTGATCAGTATAAATTATGTATTAGGCTGCCCAGCTGTACTTGTTTATTCATGCATGGACTTGAAGAATTTTCATTTTCTCAGTACAAAAAAGCAACAGCCAAAAAATTCCCCTGTATTCTAAAATATAAAGACACTTTCTTCTCAGCCAAATTTCTGCTCCATGTGTTTGAAGCTGCTTTCTTCTTCCCCTGCTTATTTCAATTAACTTATTATTTCATTTGCAGTTATCAGCAGCTGCATTTGCATCGGTGGGAAACACATACTGTTACCTTCACCCCTTGCAATTACCTCTCAAGCAAAGCAGTATCAGAGCTAAACCAAATGATGTTGATTTTAAAAGCATCAAAAATCGCATTGTTGGCTGCATTTGAACTCCTGCCTCGCTTCAAGAAGAACTGTTTGCAGAAATGTTTACAGTTAAGCCTCGCAGTCCTCTCTTTCAAGAACAAAAGTTTGTGAATCAAGAGAGATCATTTTCCAGTTTTGCTCATGTTTGTAGTCACACACGCCTCGCTAGGATGACTGGGTGAAGGGAATGCACGTTGTGGGGGTGGCTGGGATGATATGCTTGTATGCAGGGAGAGAGATGACACAGATTTAGAGAAAGAAAGAAAATCTGCAGTGACCATGTACAGCATCAGTTGTCTCTCCGAGACATGGTGTATGTGCAGAATGGAAAATGGGCTGGTGAAGCTGATTCCCTGCAGTGAGAAAAATGGCAATTTGCATACTCCAACCCAAAGCCACCCTCTGCCAAGCCGGGTTCAGGAACTTGTTAACAGAAGGTTTATGCCAATATTTACAAATCACAGAAAGATGTTTTGGCAGCTCTGACATGCAGAGTACGGTTGCTCAGTGATGGACAGGCAGAGTGAATGGTGGCAGTGCTCAGAACACAAAGAGACAGAGTTTGTGTCCTCCTAAAGAGCTGGGGAGCACAGCAGAACTTGTATTTGTTGATATTGTTGCCATTCACTCTTCCAGGTTGTAAGGGCAATTAAAGGGGTCATCTGGATGGCTCTTGAGCATGTCTAGAAAAAAGTGTGCTGCTGAAACATCTCCGTAGGGTAGAGTGCTGTAAGTGGAGAGAGCTAGTTTGGGAAAGGCCACTTCCCAAAGCTTAGCTCAGCCACAACATAGCTGACAGGTAACAGAATTGCTTTCATGTTGATTGTGCATGATAAAGATTGGGAAATGCAATGTTTGTATTGATCTGCATGATCTCTGTTATAAAAACGCTTTTTTGTACAGTGAATTCTGTCCCAGTTTTAGTGCTTCAGTAAGGACAAGAGCCCTGCATGCAACCTGCCAGCACAAACACACTGCCAGCGACAGCTCCTTTGGGCTCTGAGCCGCAGGCAGGATGAGCACACAGCTACTCTTGTTGTTTCTTCAATCAAATAACATACAAAGTGTTCTGGTGAAAAGACTAAATTTTGCTGAATTAAGTGCTTTAGAACAAGTGGTTTTATTACTTTATAATTAGCATAATTTTCCCCATAGGGATTCTTGCAATTAAATAATTAGCAGTAATGTTACCCAAAGGTGTTCTTTAATGAATTTTAAGTTATTGCCCCTGTTAACGACAATTGACAAGGCTCGAGTTTACAGCGCTCCGTCTCGCCAGGCTGCGGGCGAAACAGAGCGCAGTGCAGCCGGCCCTGAGCTCCGGGCCCCTCCGCTCACCCCGGCGGGGCGGACGCGGCCCGGGTGCCCCGCTCCCCTCGCGTCGTTCCGGCCCCGCGGGCAGCGGCCCCGACGGCGCGGGCAGCCGCTCCGCGAGCGCGCCGGGCCGGCGCGCATCGCTCGCGGATCGGCAGCGCCACCCGTCGGGGAGCGGGGCGGAGGCGGAGCGGAGCGGCTCCGGCGGGGCGGGCACGGGCACGGGCAAGACTGCCAGGGCTGCCCACCGGCTCGGCGGGACACGGCCCCAGCGTGTTCGGGACAAGTGCCGCCGGGCCACCCCGGGACGCGTTTTTACTTGGTTTCCTTTTTCTTTATGAATTGCCACTGGCAGGGTGTCGCGCTCTGTCCGGCCCGAGAGAGCCTTGGCAGCTCCAGGCCCTTGAGGGGGGAAATCCCGGTTTACCTCCCGGTGATCTCGCCTCAAAGGCAAATTCGCAATATGTAAGTCCCTGGTTAAACAAGGGCATTTCCATTTGTTAATTGATGCAATTACGCCGTGGCGGTAGCGGGCGGGCCGGGCTGCGGGCAACCATCCATCCATCACCGCCCCGCTGACCTGCCACCGCCCCGGCTCCCCGCTCCCGGAGGGACCATCACGGGGCTAAGGGGGAACAAGGGGCTCAGCATTCCTTAGAGAATGGGCTTCGGGCTGCTCTGGGCCCGTGTTCTGTCCCGGCCCCGGCCCTGCCCCTGCCCAGGCAGGCAGCGCACGCTGTGCGGGGCGAGCTCTGACCCCGCTCCCGCGGCTCCGGGCCGCCGCGACGGGCAGCGACGCCGATGCGGGGAGCACGGCTCAGCGGCTTCGGTGCAGAACCGGGGCCGAGTTGTACAGCAGCGCCCGGCCCTGGGGATGGGTGCCAGGTCAGCGAGAAGGGCCGGGGGATGGGTGCATCGGCCGGGCCCCCCTCGAAAGCTGCTGCCCCGGGTGCGCCCGGCACCGCCGCTGCCACCGCGACCCCTGCCCGACGCTCGTCCTCCCCGCGGCGGGCCCGTAGCAGGGGACACGCTGGGGCTGGCGGGTGCCGCGATGTCCCCACTTGATATTTATTCCCCTAGGACAAATTTTGATCGTGTTTAAAAAGAAAGGGGGAAAAAAAAGACCAACCGCAAGGCACCCCCAGTCCCGCCTTTGACGTGCATCACAGCACAACACGGAACCGAGATGAAACAAGTGCCGGGAGAGGGCGCGGGGCGCTGCTGCTGCTGCCGGCAGGGCCGTGACGTCACCCCGCTCCTCGCCCACCGATGAACGCTAAAGACCTATAGAGCAGAAAATAATACAAGCAAGCTCCGTATCTTGCAAGCCCTACGTGATTTTCCCCCCCTCTTTGAAAAAGCCCCCTTGCACTTAAACTCTCTATACATGTGGGGTGGCTTTTTAAACTCCCTCTATACAAACATATTTATTAAGAGCGATGGGAAGTGGGGGGTAGCCTATTTTTTTAATCCAGGCACCAACCTCCTCTGCTTTTCTTAAGTGCAATCATCTATAATTGAGAAAAAAAAAAAGAAAAAAAAAAAGCCATACGTGGAAATGTGTGTGTGAGAAGGTGCATCTTGAAGCAGGGTTTAGTTACAATCGATCTTGGGGGGAAAATATTGCCTATGGTCCAAAAATAAGGAGCAACTATGTCCTTCTCTCAGTTCGGATACCCCTACAGCACCACTTCACAGGTAAGGCGAGTGAGCAGCACTCACTTTTGTTTAGATTCTGCTGCTGCTGTCCAGATGTCTTGTCCCCCCTCCTTTTTTTTCTTCCCTTTCCCTTACTTAGAATATTTTTTTAAAAGGGCACATCTGGAGCCTTTTTTTAAAAAATGTGCGTGTGTGTTTATGTCTCGTTTGTGTTGTGTTAGGCTTAAACAAATAACTCGCAGTGTGCACAGCAAAGGCGTGTAGGAAACCGGTAATTCCCCCTCCTCCCCACCCTTCACCGTTCAGTTTTAAGTGCAACAAACAAATAAAAACATAAATCCCAGCTACGAGCGCTTACCGAGCCCGCGGAGCGGCCGCGCTGCGCCGGGCGCAGCCCCCGCCCGCCCGCCCGGCCCGGGGCCCCCCCCCCGCCGCTCGGCTGCCGCCCGGGCACGGCGGAGGGTGCGCGGGCAGCGGGAACCGGCGCTCGGCGGGCTCGGGGTTTCACTCGCGTTTCTGCGGAACCGGGCTGCGCCGTTTCCTCCCTCCTTCCTCCACGGGTCGGTCCTTTTCCTGTGTTTTATTAGGATATGTCGAGAGGTTTTGGTTTTTTTTTTTCCCCCCCATGCGATTTCCGAAGGACATCCCCCACTCACACCAAGGCACCCTGTATTAACTAAGTCGTAGCTTTATCGTACTTCGAGTCACGATTTATTTGGGTAGAATTATTTACACACGGTAATCACTGCAAGATGTGCCTCCCTCGCTTGGGAAGTTAGCTGTCCCCTTGAAGTTATTGAAATCAAATGCCTTCGATTGCGTTGGCTGACATATTTACTGCTGTGTCTATTGTCAAATTAACTGTAATCGCAACTTTTTGCCTTTAAATCAATGCAGATGGACCGAGCGGGGGCGGGAAGGATGGAGCCTTACGGATCTCATACCTTTTTCGAGAGCAATTATTTCCTTAAAGTTTTGCCTGCTTGATTAATCGTGCCCCCTTCCCAAGAGCTCCTGCTTCCCATCCGGTTTATTTCCCGGTGTCTATAATTAGTTGCTTCGGCCCGCGTTTCCTATCCCCCTCCTCACCTCCGCCCCCGCACACACACCCAGGCGCGCACACTCTCCTAAATTCCCCCCGATGGGGCTGCCTCGACAGTCACTCGGCGCCGTCCCGCTCTCTCCTCTCCGCAGTTCTTCGTGCCCGCCAGCCCCAGCACGACCTGCTGCGAGGCCGCCCCCCGCTCCGGGCCGGATGCCTCCTCGGCGCCGGCCGCCGCCTCCCTCTGCTGCGCCCCGTACGAGAGCCGGCTGCTGGCGCCCGGCCGCGCCGAGCTCAATGCCGCGCTGGGCATGTACAGCGCCCCGTACGCCGCCGGCCAGGGCTACGGCAACTACCTGCCCTACGGCGCCGAGCCCGCCGCGCTCTACACCGCGCTGGTGAGTGCCCGCCCGCCCGGCAGCGCTCCGGAGGGGAGGGGGTGCAACAGGCGGGAGAAACTTCGTGTTTCGCAGTCGGTACCGGGGCGGGGGACCGCCGAGGGACGTGGGACCGGGAGCGGCGCCGGCCCGTCGGGGGTGGGGGGCGCGAAGGGACTCGGCTGCCGCGGGGAGCCGGGGCTGCGGGGCGCGGCGGGGGTGCCGTCCCGCTCGACGCCAAACGCTGCCGCTTCCCTTGCAGAACCCCCAGTATGAAATCAAAGACGGCGCCGGCACGTTGCACTCGGGAATCGCGCAGCCCGCTACCTACTACTCCTACGATCATTCCTTGGGGCAGTACCAGTACGACAGGTAAAACCCCTTTGATCAGCGCCCGGCAGCATTAGCATCCCCCTGCGAGGCGGCGGTCGACATCAAACGAGGGGGACGGGGGGGCTCCGACCTGACAAACGTTGTACAAAAGAAACGAGGCGCCCGGGAACAGCAGACAGCGGAAACCAAAGTTGGGCGGCGATGTCAGGAGGGCAGGGGCAGGAAGGCAGATGGGCAGGGGCCACACCGGCCTGCGGCGCGGCTGGGCCGGGCCGGGAAGCTCTTACCTGACTCCCGCGGGCCCCCCCTCCCTAATCATCTCCCAGCAGGTACGGGACCGTGGATTTCGGTGGTTCAGCCAGACGCAAAAATGCAACGAGAGAGACGACGAGTACTCTCAAGACCTGGCTGTACGAGCACCGGAAAAACCCCTACCCCACCAAAGGAGAGAAAATCATGCTGGCTATCATCACTAAAATGACCCTGACGCAAGTGTCCACTTGGTTTGCTAACGCCAGACGGAGGCTTAAGAAAGAAAACAAAATGACCTGGTCTCCCAAGAACAAAGCCGGGGAAGAGAGGAAAGAAGACACCCCGAGGGAAGAGGATGAATACAGTGCGGAGGGTGAAGGCAGAGGTAGGCGGGAGAGGCACACGGGCGCCTCCAAGTAGGTTCGAAGTGACGGCCGATTTAGAGCCCCCCACCCCCAACTTCCCCGCACCCGCACTAACGCCCTGCCGCCCCTTTTTTCCCCGTCTGTGTCCAAGCAGAGCAGAAGACCTACAAGGAGGACAAGGACCTGCGGTTCAGCGACCTGGAGGAGGAGGAAGAGGAGGAGGAGGAGGAGGCGGGGAAGCCGGAGAAGGGCCGGACCAGCTCCCTGCAGGAAGCCCCCAGCCTGGGCGCGGCGCTGCCCGAGGCTCCGCGGAGCGACTGCAGCCTGCCCGGCCCCTTCCACGCCTTTCCTTGTGCCAAGGCCCCCGCCGCGGACTTCGCCCCCGCCTCCTTGGCCGGCCCGCCGCCGCCCTACGCGCCCGCGGAGAAGCCGCGCATCTGGTCGCTGGCGCGCACCGCCGGGGCCAGCGCGGCGCGCAGGGGCAGCCCCGAGGGCCGCGGCGCGGAGGGAGGCGGCGGCGCGGCGGGGGAGCATCCCCTGCCCGCCAAGGCCTTCCGGAGCTCCGCTTTCAGCCTGCAGCAGCTCCCGCGAAGCTGCGCGTCCCACCGCGGCCTGGGGGAGCCGTGCCAGTTCGCGGCGGCGGGCGAAGGTACCCGCGGCGGCGGGGCCGCGGGAACGGGCGGGACCGCGGGCCGGGCCGGGACACAGGGCGCGGCGTGAGCCCGCCCGCGCAGTGACAGCCCCGGTGTTCGGCCGTGCCCAGGTGTCAGGTGCAGACGCCGAGGCTTCCCCGCTCGAGGCGAGCGGGCAGGGGAGGGCGGCGGGACCGGGCCGTGCCCACCGCGAGCCGCTTGTGTCTGTGCAGGCTTCGGGCGGGGCGCCAAGGGCGGCCCGGGATGCACCGAGCTGGGTGGGACGTGCCTGGACAGGCTGCGGACGGCGTTTCGGCCCGTGCTGCGGAGGTGAGGTAGGTGACGGGCCGGCTGCCGGGGCCCCACCTCGCACGAAGCTCATGCCAGCCCGCCTGGCCCTGGGACATCGCAGCGGCCCCGGCCTGCGAGCGCTGCGCCAAGGCCGCCGCTTTGCCCCGCTCCCGGAGCTCCCGTCCGGGCGGGGCAGCAACCCGTGGCCGCTTAGCACCAGCTTATCTCCGCTTCTCCGTCCCGCAGGGCCGCCCGCCCCATCCTGGGCGCTGGCGACGGGGCTCCGGCTGTAACGAAGCACTCGGCTTGACGCACCGAAAGAACCCCGTCCCCGGGCCGGCGCTGGCCTCGCGGCTCCGCCCGCCCTGCCCTCGCCGGGGAAGGGCCGCCGCGGCACAACGTGCTGCGCACATGGGGCCGCGCAGGAGCGGCGCCTCCCCGCCCTCGCCTGCCGTGTGTTCGGTATTGCCCTTTGACGTCTTTGCAAAAAGGAAGAAAAACCCCCACCCTAATATTTTCTCTTTTCCTCCCACGTCGTGGTTTGTTTCTCCTTTTCCTCCCAAACCTGCGCTCTCTGCTCAGCGCCCTGCTCTGCCAAGGGGCAGCAGTTTGCAGTAGCTCCGCGCCGTCCCAGGGAGGAGAAGCGGCGCAGGTTACGCCGGACTGTTTCTTTCCCGTCTATGTACATAGATACCGCTGAAAGTATTTTTCGGAGTCTAATTAACACGGGTGAGCTGAACGCCACGAAGCCGCCAGTGACCTCGGAGCTCTCCAGCCAGGAGCCGGCACGGCCCGGGAGGAGCGGCCCCGGGCAGCTGCCACTCGCCCTGGGGCACGGCCGGGGCACCCCCGGGCAGCGGGTGGCGACCGGGCGGCGAAGTAGGACGTTGTTAGTGGGTCACCGCCGTCAGTCAGTCAAAAGAGCAGTGCTGCACTTTACAGGACAGACGAGAAAGGGAAACCGTATCTCTGCATTATTTCTGTTTAATTAAAAGTGTCATCAAACACTTTGTGTTCAGACTAATAAACCAAGCAGGGATGAGGAAAGAATGTTTCTTTGTTCCTGTCTCTAGAAGCAGTGGCAATAATTTAAATTAATAACTGTGGTAATTAAGAGGTCATCTATAGATCAACCCGATACCTGCTATTTCCAAGTTCACCGGGGTCAGCATTTACATTAAGTCATTTGTGGTCAATAGAGTCCAATGAATTCTGCCTTAATAAATCAGGGAAATCAATCTTGAATATCGAATAGACTTCTATATGTTTACTAAAGGCTACTCAAGACGAGTGGGGCTGCATAACTGGGAGCCCCCTGGCTCTGCGACAGGAGAAGCAATTCGTAGGGGAGAGGAGGAGCTGCAGGTCAACGCAGGGAGATGTGAGGGGGCTGCCCCCGGCTTCAGCCGCGGCCCTTCCCGGGAGCAGAGGACACTGTGAAAGAAGGCAAACTTTGTCGGGCTCTGGAGGATCCGGGCGAGAAAGGGAGGGGGAGGTGAGTGCATACGAGGGCAGCAGGTGAGGGTGCGGACGGAGCGGGGCTGTCGGGAGCCCCTGCCCGGCCACGGGGCTGTCCCGCACTCCGGAGCAGCCCTGGACAAGAGGCGGTGCAGCAGCAGCAGCAGTCTGTTGCAGTGACCCGAAGCTTAGAGAAGGAGAAATTAAGCTGCGAAAAGATAAGCATTATTTCAAGTCGGATTTGAAGGATTAGGGCTTGTAATAAAGAGTATTAGGCCCTTTCTAAGGGTTCTTGCAAGGCGACTTTTCCGCCCACCGGAGAGGACAGGTATTATCTGCCTTGGGAGCACATGTGCAGGTTTTCCACGCATGTTCCCACGGCAGAGCCAGGCCGGACCTCTCTCCCGGCTGTGTCCTGTCCTGCAGGGGAGCGACCCGGCTTCCTCTGGTTCCGTTTCCCTGTTAGAGACTCCCCGGGGAGGCAGCTCTGCATCGCCCTCCTGAGCTGCTCACGGGAGACGAAACATGCACGGTCCCCGCGGCCAGGAGCCCCCCTGAGCTGCCGGCTCTGCCCCCGGCCCCGAATCCCCCGGCGCTGCGTTCCCCCGGCCACGAAAGAGCCACGAAGCCCGCGGGGAGAGTTAATTAGGCGGGCGCAGGCCTCGGGGTCTCTCGGGGCAGGCACGAAGGTAACCTGCAGGAGTCTTAAGACTTTTATTTTTTTATTTATTACTTTTACTCCCCTTTTATTAAAGGTCAAGTGAGCGAGATGCAGATTATCCCGCCCGCTCAGGACTCCCCTGCAATCTGTCACGCCGGCAAGATATGTATCGCAAATCTCTCAAAATATAATCTCCGGGAATCATATTCCGAATACTGTTTTGATTAAAAACCAGAGCGGGGATTGATGGAGAACTAATACCGGGAGCAGAGCCTGCGTGCGCCCAGGCACAAAACTAAAATAACGGGCTCGCACGAACAGATTCAGCGCCTCCAATGCCATAATAAACGTATTTAAACCGTCTCTGTCTGAGCTTTGCTACGAGATGGGCTTTTTAATGCCGCTTCTCTGGGAATTGAACTCGGGCTGTCCGGCGGAGCGGGGCAGCCGGGCTGTGCCAGGCGGGCACTCGGAGCCTGCTGCTCGGGGAGATGGGGCCGGTGCGGGCTGCCCCGGGCCCGCAAGGTGAAGCCCCCGCGGAGCCGGGGCACCTCCGTAGCGCAGCGCTCACACACCCCCACCATTCCCTCCCGGCACCCACTTGGCTCCCAAGGGCCGGGTCTCCCCCTTCCCGCAGCCCGCGGGGACGCGCTGGCACCGGCGGCCGCAGCCCCGCAGCCCCGCATCGCCCCCCAATTAGCGGCCGCGGGGGCGGCCGGGGGCGGCTCGTTGTCGCGTCCCCCGCTGGGGTGGGAAGTTTCTAAAACAAAGTCGCCGGGCTAATGGCCCCGGGCGGGAGCGGCGGGGCCGCGCACACTCCACTGCGCCCGCTCAAAGCCAGCGCGACCGCGGGGCCGCCGCCGCCTCCGCCGCGCTCGCTAATGAAGTTTTGTCAAAGACAATTACGGGCCCGGCGGGGGCAGGAGGCCGCGATGAAAAGGCGGCTTTGTGCGGCCGAGACGGCGCGGCTCCCCGGCCACCCCCGGCCCTTCCTGCGCCCCCGCGGTGACCCCCGCGCCCGGCCCCGCTCCCCGCGGGGAGAGCGGCCCTGGAGCCCGGCCCCAGGTAAGCGCAGAGACGGGTTGGTGCCGGCACTGAGTCCCCCAGAGCTGTAGTTTAACAGCCCGATCCACCGAGGAATCACCCGAAAAGTGAGGGCTTAGGCAGCGGGCAGCCCCTGCTTGCCACACGCACCCCTGGCTGAGGGTTTCTGCCCCCTCTCCCCCAGAGGATTCCTGCTTCAGCGTTGTTGCATTCAGCAATTGGCAGAATTCGTCCAAAAAACTGCCAACGAGCTGGCTAAATCTGTTTAAAAATACACTGGAGAGACATGAAATGTGGGTCTTGGACTGCAGCTGCCTTCAGCTGCATCTGAGCCAGAGGAGGTATGTCAGATAACCCATAATAACCATCCTTCACCACCTTCCCCAAACTCCCAGCACTGGCTGCTGTCCTCCAACTCAGGTCCTTGGTCACCTCCCCTCCCTGCCATCCCCAGCCAACGTGGGCAGCACAAAACACGCTGGCACTCTCCTAGAGAGGACAGGGAATCATTTCTGAGTCGTGAGAAAGTCTGGACAATACCCAGTAACCAGCTAGGTTGCTCCCCAACCTTTGAAGCACAGTCCTCCTTTTAGGAACATAAGAAAGGCAGAACCTTCCTTTACTGCTGCACAAGCACATGAGGAAAACAGCCCTGGCACTGAAATGGTCTAGACCCCTCACCCCCAGCTGGCTGGTATTTGCCTGTTGTCCTGTTGCCCTACAGGCTTTCCATCCCACAATAAAGGGATGAATTTTACTGCCTTTGCAGCAACAAACTTCTTGAAGATCCCTTTTCAAAGGGGGCTACACACAGAAGTTTTAGCTTGATGTGGCTGTTGAGGTTATGGAGCAGTGGGTTGGAGCAATTAGTTCAAAATGATCTCAAAAACTGCACAAGCAGCTGCCCAGGCCAGGTGTCATTTCAGGATCAAAGCATCTGTTAGCGGAAATGTTTTTTTTTTTTTTTTTTTCTTTTTTTTTTTTTTTTTTTTTTTTTTTTTTTTTTTTTTTTTACCTACTGTTCATCTGAAAATAAATTACAGGCCAGAACAGGTGGATAACATTCTGGAATGATTTAATGATTTATTTAATCTGGATTCTCTTTCAATCTACTTAGCAGGACTTTTTTTTTTTTTTTTTTTTTTTAGCCTGAATCCAAAAGCCTGTCTTTTCATCTAAAGAAGAGAAAATACCCTAAAACACTGCTGTGCTGCTGTCAAGGTGTACTTCCCACTGCTGCTACTAAACCAGTGGTAATGTCTGCTGTGCTAAAGGGCCTGAGGGGAAACCTCAAGAAAACCGAGCCGATTTAATATTTTTTTTTTTTTTTTGTTCCTTGCCATCTTGTGCTTTAGATATTATTTCCCTTCCTGGGCAGTGTTTGGGTAATAAAAGAGCTGATTGTAGTGTTCAATCACTACCCCTTAAAAAGTAAGAGGACAGCTCTCTGACTTTCCCCTCTTGTCAGGACAGCTTTATGTCACTGGTTGGGAGAGGAGCTGGAATGGACACACAGGAATCTTCTGCTGCAAACACCTATGGATCCACTGATACCCAACGAGGCCAGGAGCAATTCCTTCAGGCACATTCACACAAGGCTTCAGATCCTAGGTGAAACCTTCCTTCTTGAGAAGCCATGCTTTTGCTAAGAAGGGATTAGCAAAACCATTGCTCATTTACTTAGATGTGAATTTCTGGTGTTTGGTTTGAGCTGGAAGAAGATGTTTTACAGGGCAGATACTCTCAGGACCTATAAAATGCTGAAATTCATGGATTAACTCCCTGGATGGCTCAGTTTGGTACTCTACTCCCACTGGATGGTCATGGAGATGTGTAGAGGGGGAAAGGAGCTGGGAAAGTGCTTTTAGATGTGGGGAAGGTTACAAGATATTGAAGGGGTTGTAGGTAACACTGCCAGCATATTTCCACCTCATCTGCCTGTTCACTTTAGTTTAATGGATTACATTAAGGTTCTAAACTTGCTTTAGCCCATCAGACTCAGGTATGTGCACCAGTAAAACCATTAATTTTTTGTTGTTATAGTTATTATAGATTTTTTATTTTTTTCTTTTTTTTAATTCAGCACAGCTCGAAGTCTGAGTTTGCTACTAGTCAAGTCCTGAGTTTGTGCTACGGCACCAGCTCACTCACAGTGAGGTATGTTTGGAGGAATTTCTGTTTCCAGACAACACAGCCAGGTTGGTGAACCTGCCAGATCACCCTCAGGCTGCCTGGGGTGGAAAAGAAGGGACTTGGAAAGATTTCCTGTCAGCCCTCCCAGCGAGGGTACTCTGAGCCACACAGACCCTCCAGAAAACCTGGCCCACATGAGCTGGCCTCCAGGATAGACATGGCACATACAAAAGCTAACTGCAGTTTTTAACAAAAATATCACCTCCACTTGACTAGGATGATTCATTCAGGTGGATTCACTTCTTAATTTCAAATATACAACATCATTAATGTTCAACATCTAAAAGATGGCCTCCACAGCCATCTGCTTAGTGGAACATCTTAACTTTATTGAACAGCTAAGAAACAAACAGTGGTGGGAGTTCACTACCACTTCCACTGTTGGTCACTAACAGAAAAGGCAAACATCCATATTGCCATGCTGAGGTTTTCTCTAGGCAAACCACACGAGACACAGGGAAAGTAATGGATTAGGTGCACAAGGAAATTAACAACAAGGAGCTCTGAGTCAGCAGCCTGCCAGGGATTCATGCTACACAGTTAAATCTTGTTTATCTGAGCACGTGCTCTGCAGCTCTGCAGCCACCATCTGCAGTTTACTCTGGGGAGCTCTGACAGCCTGGTCACCAGGCCCAGCTGGTACAAGAACAAGTGCTGCATGTCCTGCAGGTGGGAA